CAGGACATTTTGTACTCTGTTTTCATGTAGTTTTTGGACTCTCGAATGTTCTCCAGTGGAATGCATTCATCACAAAAAAAGTGATAATCAGATAATCAGAAAAAAAAGCACTTGATAAAAAGTTCAAAACTTTAAACACCCCCCAAATAAAAGTGAAAAACAACAACATGGTGTACAGGACACAGAGCAGGGGAGCGGGTGGGCTGGGTGGGGAAGCCTTTGTCCTGGCCCAGCCTGGCTCTCTCTGCAGTGCTTTCATGTGTGCACACAAGGCTCAAGCTTTTCCTACATTTATTTTTATGGCCAGTGATTTTAAACTTCATTGGATAATGTTCCAGAGGGAAGGGCCTCTCGAGAACATTCTGTGTAGGGGCTTTCATGGGGATTGAGGCTTCCCTCTGCCCAGTCCCTGCCACACCTCTGTTGCTTTAGGCCACGCAGGGACAGCTGGGCAGAGAGATGGTGCAGCCAGAAAGGAAGACCCTTTTAGAACACTCTCACCTCCTTGGCGCCCTTGGGGGCTCTGAAGAGTGGGGAGCTGGGTTTAAGAACTGAGAGCTTGATAACCTCCTTTTCAGCATACACATCTCCCCACCCCACCCCACTAACAATAGTCTTGGCTAAAGAAAACTCCAGGCTGAAAACTCTGTGGCCAAGTAGCCCAGATAAACAAGAAAGGCCAACACCGGAAAACCTTTGGATAAAATCTCCTTGACTTCAGTGCAACCTCGTCAGCCTCGGGTTTGGTTTTTGACTGATAGCAATGTTTGTTTTTAAGTTTTTGTGTGTAAAAGGATACCAAGGAGAAAACCTTAGATGTGCCCAAGTAACTAATGTTCCTGAACCTTGGTGGTGACTTTTAAAGCGCTAGAGAGGTTTTTGAAGGGAATAGGGGTGGGAGAGGCCGGCTGACAGGGAGGACAGAGCTGAGCACCTGCCAGGTCTGAATTCTGAGCATGCGTGTTGGGGCGGGGGAGGGAATTCTGGATTAAAAGTAGAGATCGAGTGTGAGACGCGTTCTTGAACCTCATGCAGCTCATCCAGATGTCATTGTGATAAGTTAATATAAATGAATTGGAAACATCTGCACCAAAAGTCCCCCTGAACACACGAGGGCTTAACAATGAAATGGAAGAATGGTCCAACTGGTTTCAGCTTCTAGCGGATCCCAAATGTTTTGAAAAACAAGTTCTCAAGACATTTTTAAATATTTTTTTTTTATTTTATACATTTTTTACGTCATTTTTCATTTTTGCACAATGTATGCTTTTTCATCTTGGTTATAGTCCCCATACAATTCCCACCCCCCTTGTTAAGACATTTTGAGAATTTAAAGGGCAGCTGGCTCTTCCAGACCCTTTAAAAATAGTCACAGTTGTTGCTGCTCTTCGGTTACTCCTGCTCTTACCTCTGGGAGGCTCCGTCTCTGGTCTCTGCCAGCTGCAAACCGCTCTGCACCTCTCCCAAGCCCAGGCCTGGATTTGCTTCCTCAGCAAACGCAGGTGTTGCAGGCACTGAGTTCTGAAAGCAGTGACCAGGCTGTGTGCTGTCAAGTTGAAAGACCTGTTTCTAGACGCAGGCGGGACACTCTTGCCACCACAGGTTACTGTCTGGCAATTTCCAGCGTTTCACAATTTGCAATAGGTCTTGGTTCACCCTTTCTACGGAGCTGATAGGAGAGCCAGCCCCTGAGGAAAAGAGAACAAAGATCCCAGATGTTCTGTGGATGAGCCAAAATCAGAGGGATGGTCAAGAGGAAAAGTTCACTTTGTGGGAGAGGCCACAACGAATGCTCCTCTGTACAGGAAAGTCATCTTGGGTCCCGCCCTTAATCCTCTTCCTTCTTCTTTGACACAGACTGAGGGATCCCAACAAATGCCAGCTCAGCAAATGGAAGTGATTCGTGTGCAGTTCTCCTTTAGGCTGCTTTATTGGATGAAGTTGTCCTTCTATTGTATTGACTTGCATCGTAGTGTCTCGCCATCCTGAAATTTTAATCACCTGGGTACTGAACACACATCACTTACGTCACCCAACTTGCAATTCTATCTGGACTCAAAGGATGAAAGAAGAAACCCTCGCATAATCACCTTCTCTATCCCCTTCAAGGGACACTGTCAGTCTTAGGCTTCCTAAGTAATCATCATTTAATTTTCTTTATAGGTCAGAAAGTCTTGATTCTCAAAGCTGAAAAAAATAAGAGTAATTAAAAGTGATGGGCCTGCCGCCCACTGCTCCCCTCAGCAGTGTACTTCGGTCCTTCTGCCTGCTCTGCTCCACACTCTGGCTCTGGTGAATTCTCTCACCCTCCCGCGCTTCTGACTGTACCCAGTACTTGTATAAATAAATAAATCTTTAAAAAAAAAGTGATGGGAATATGTTTGTAAATAGATATGAATTCAGGAAACCCTGCATCTACCTTATTCTGGAAACAAGGCACTCCTTGAACCTACTCTCCATCCAATATGAATTCAGCACTGCTCATGAATGCTTTGTCCCTACTCAGGTTAAGAAATGAAAAAGCAGAGCCTCCCTGGTGGTGCAAGGGGTTAAGCACAGCACTGTGAAGCTATCCGTAGCCTCTGCAGCACAAGTTCGATCCCTGGCTAACCAGGGGGCTACCCACCTGGCGCAGCAGACCTTGCCTGTCTTGCGTGATTGTCCCCTCCGCAGTGTATTTCAGTCATTTTGCCTGTTCTGTTCCCCACTCTGTCTCTGGTGAATCCTTTCACACATACAACTCCACCCCCACACCTCTGGCCTGTACCCCAGTTCTTCTATGCATAAATAAATGTTTTTTTTTTTTTTAAATGAAAAAAGAATTTAAGCAGGGTTTCTTCCCATGATTTCTAGACCAAGGTTCATTTTAGTCTCACCAGAATACAGCAAAACACATTCCTGTTTGAAACCTTTCACTGACTTACTATTTCTCCCAGTCTAAGTCCTGGACACAGCTTGATCTAGCCTCTGCCCTTAACTTCATTTCCTGTCTCCTCCCCTCTCACATGCCAAGTTCCAGCACCTGGTTCCTGCTTCAGGGTTTCTTTGTAAATATTCTCTCTGACCCACAGACTTGGAGGAACCAGGTCATCTCCCCCATCAGCACGGGAGGGTGAGAGAATTCACCAGAGCCAGAGCGGGGAGCAGAGCAGGCAGAAGGACCGAAGCACACTGCTGAGATGTTCTTGAGAACATCCCCCAACATACAAATCACATCATTCCACATTATCCTGCTGGATTCTCCTAGCACTTACTAATAAATGAATTAATCGGCTTTTGATCCACTTTCCATTACTAAAGTGTAAGCAATCAAAATGGTCTATGGAGACATGTTTAGAAAAGATTTGCCTTTTAAAATTTTTGTTTTAAACACTGAGCGTTGCTTGGTTTGACTTGGTGTGTTCGCATGCTAGTTGGTGTCTTATGACAGCTAGGAGACAATGTTTATTTGACAAATATCCCATCTTGTTGGTGTGAAATGGTAAGAAATGCCAAAAATATTAACAAACTGCCAAAGTCTAGTTTTTTATAGCGTGGGTGCAAGACCAAAACCTGGCAAAAGATATAGCTATAGAGACGTATGTATGTGTGTCTTACTGAAAGAAGCATCAAGTTCCTGCAGTTTTCCCTTCTCAATCTCTAAGTTCCAGCTTAGAAATTCTGGCTGAATATATGCAGAGTATGAGAATCAGAGACGCAGGCAAAGTAGTTTTACTTATGAATTTCCCGCCCCTTGGAACATCACCCTGCCCGTGGAAGGTATTTTTCCAGTCAGGCTCAGTTCTCCATCAGTGGCTCTCAACCTGGCGACCTCAGCTTGTCATCTCCCTTCCCACACACATGAGGACATGTCTAACTTGACAGATCATCTGGGCGAGCATGTGACATGTGGCACACTTCTCTGTGACTTCTCAGCAAGTGCTGAGAATTGCGTGTGCAGGCTGAATGTGTGTATTAGTACAGATGTAGCCAGAAACGACAAAGAATTTCCCCAAGTATTAGAAAAATGCTTTAGTATTTCCACAAATCACCGGTCTTCATGAGATAGTCGCCTCTTCACCCTTCCTCATTTTATTACTCTTTAATTGCAGTAACTTTGCATTAGGACATTATGTAAGTTTCAGGTGTACATCATTAAAAATCAATGGGTGTTTTAATCTTAGGGGAAAAAAGCAAACTACCACTTCCGTATTAACAGGGAACAGGATGACAAATGTTTCTGTCTACAGAGGTCAACGGGCCTTGTTTCCAAGCCAGGATTCCAAGCCAGTGGTGCAAATGTTCTTTTTAGGGAAATGTGGTTTGTTTTTCTGTACCATGATGGTCTAAAAGGCTAGGAATGCTTTTCAAACTACATGATTCCTTCTTAACCTAATTTTGCATTTGTCATCTAGAATTTATGCAAACCCTTCTCCAATAAAGGCAAGAAGTCTGTGATGGTTTGTTTTTCCTGCATCATCGGTTGGATTGAGCCAGCTGCTGTTTTAATGGGGCATCTTTTAGGTGTTCCCTTCCTACTGGCACCTTCTGTGGTCTTGTCTGGGCTCATTTCCTGAATTCAGACTGTCGCGGGATCCTCATGGAACGCACTAAGCGTTCTCTTCTGTGTCACCAGCACTTCCACCTGTTGCCTTGATCAGATTGTCTTGTTCACTCAACCTCCTGCTGTGCTTCCTCTCACCAAGGGTGAAATCTAAGAGATTTCCTTTGGTGCTTCAAGACCCTTGCTGGCATATCCTTGATCCTCGCTACACAGGGTGTGGTCTGGCGATAGGGCAACATCAGCATCACTTGGGAGCTCATTGGAACATGCCGCCTTGCCTCAGGTGAACTGCATCAAAATCTACATTTTTAACAAGATCCAGGTGATTATTATGGAGAAGTGCATTCTGGGAAATCCTCAGTGCGGCCATTTTCATTGTGGCCAGCAGCCAGGTCATGCTGAGAAACTTCTCCCAGGGCTCTTAGGATTTAGTGCTTTGTGCATGCTGTCAACATGACTGGTTTGATCTTCCCAGTGTCCGCATGTGGTATGTATTGGTGTCATTCCCATTTGCAGATGGGGAAGCGAAGAAGCTGGGCATGCACTGGTGAGAGACAATTGAGGTCCTGTGTGAGGGCAGCCTGGCTTCAGTCCAAGACGCACCGCTTCCAGAGTCTGGCTTCCTAACCTTGGGCTCTGCAGCTTCCCTCCTGCTGGCCTCCCTCTCTCCCAGATCAACCCACTCTATTCATTTGCTCTCTTATCAGTCTGTAAAACATCTCTGAAGCAAAGCCGGTGTGAAGGGAACACTGCTCTTTGGGAATGCTGTGTTCTATAAAGAGCTTTGGGTCTTAACATCAGTTTTTAGTAAGAATGTGCTGTACCCTGTATAGCTTTGGTCTCTCTCAGCCTTAGAAAATGAGCTTTCTACCACATCTGATTCAAGTGCACTTCTGAGAACTACAGATCTCAGGCTCCTCACTGTGCTGAGAGAGAAAAATATCTCAAACTTGACCCCTGTAATCTGAAAAATTGGAGCAGAATATTATGACCTTGTGGTGACATTGGTTCAGAGCTTGTCAAATCCTTTGAAGACCTCAAGATTTGCTATATGGCCTGTGTACTCCAAGACCAAGCTTTATTATAGCAGAGTGATGTCTGAGGTCAGAGGTCAGTAGCAAAGTGGCTACTGAATTGCTTTGAGGGGATGCTGCAGGAAAGGGGTGCTCGGGGCCCCGCCTTACTTTTTTTTTTAATGGGCTTGCAATTAATTAATTAATTAACTTTTTGTGGGACCCTCGCCGGCAGCTGGGGAACAAACCGGGGCTGCAGAGGCTGCAGGCAGCCTCGCAGCCCAGCGCTCAACCGCTGCGCCACCAGGGGAGGTGCCCCCCCCCTTACTTTCAACCAATTAACACAGGCTTTTAATCTGATGTCAGTTGATCTGTGGCATGGGTTTTAGTTTAACAAGCCTTTCCCTGCTTAAAAATTTTCTAGCATCCTTTTCTAGTGGTAATCACTGGATTAGTCTGAGAATTAGCTGGGGTGTGTGTGTGTGTAATGTCTACAACAGTATCTGAGATAGTTACGTGCACAATAAGCGTTTGTTGAATACATAGAAAATTATTATAAATGGACATTTACATATTACAAGTACATTGTAATATATAAAAAAATGTTTCTTGTATATTACAAAGCAATTGAACTAATCCTACTGATTTTTTGCAGCTGAGGCAATTGAAGTTAAGAAAAGCAAATTGACTTCCCCAAGGTCATACATTGTTTTGTCTAAAAGCTATTTCTTGTATTCCTCCTTTGAAAGCTCAAAAGCTGGGCAGGCTGCCAGGTCTGCCAGGCATCGCTCCTCTGCCTTCTGGGTCAGCCCTGGCTACACGCAGACGCAGTGGCGCTGACCTAGCCGTATTTCCTTTGCCTTTACAACTCCTTGTTGAGTGTTTAGAAAACAAAATACTGTGCTGGTGTTTGGGACAAGCTGAGTCAAGAGGTCATATATTCTCAGTGCGCTTTCTCTTCCATCACGCAGTCAGTTGGTGAAACTCCCTCCCTCTCCTGATTTATTTATGTATTGAAGGCAGCTGGCAGAGAACATGAAATACTCCAGTATCCGCTGAATAGAGCAGCTGAGGTCAAGTCACCAAAAACCCCATTTTAGAAGAATGTGCGTTTGAGGAATTTATGCCCCAAAAGAGAAGATGGCATTGGGATACTGAGATTGCACCTTTTTTTTTCACCTGTGAAAACTTTTTTTTTTTTAGAACTTTCAGGAAAACAATAAATAAAAACACATCATTGGGAATATAGGTGACATCCTGCGGTTAGTAGTGAGGGACATGTGGGTAACCTCCAGTTCACCATTCCCTGCTTACTAGCAATGTCATTTGGCTTTGCAACAAATGATAGACATACAAAAAAATATTTTATTTCAGCTCTCTATGCATGTAAATATTCCATGCCTTTCTGATCTTTTGTCTAAAATACTAATTGCTACTTTCCGAGTTCATGCCCCAGAGACATTACCCCCCTCCCCAGGAATTGAGGTCCTTCTTGCCTTCGTATCTTTGCCTCTCTGCCACTCAGGTTATCTAGCATTTCTATTCCTAACCCTTGCTGCTTCTCCCACTAATTGTTCCCCATACACAAACACACACACAAAAAAAACCCTGAAATTCTTTCTGCCAAAGAGATTTGAAGTCATGCACACTGAGATTTCCTGCAAAGGAAACTTAGATTATGTTCTGACAAGACAAGTACATACAACCCACAAGAATTTGGGGGTAAATAAATATTGGCTCTTGTGTTATTCAATTACATATCCAGAGATGTTAGCTAAAAGTTCCTCTCGGTGACTGTATATGCTGATGTTTTAAATTTTACCTTTGCTTCTGTGCCTAAGATTTAGAGACTATTTAACTTCTCCTTCCTGCCCAAAGAGAAAGCCTAAGAGACTATGGGAAGCATGTCTAAAGATATTAATTAGCAATATATAAGGTTAAAGCTGTTTGCTGTCAGCCTTGATTGACTTTTTGATTATTTGCTGCAATGAAGATATCGAACTTGGTCTCAGGCAAATCTCTAGGGTAGGGATAATGCTTATCACTGAGTACTGACAATGTCATGTAGCACTTGAGACCCTGGAATGACACGAGGAAGAGGTTTGACCCTTGTCAAAATTGGGCAAACTTTCACCTGGTACAGGTGAAACAGGACAGTTCCTACTAACTGGTGGGTTAATAACGAATCTTTCTGTAAAAGGGGCTCTTTTGCCTCAAGGTCAGGCTTGTGGGATGTATATTTATAAAATGGGGTTGGTCTTCACATTGGATAATCAGATAGTGGGGTGGCGGCGGGAGGATTTGTCTTTTATTTATCCATCACAGTCCCTCTGTTTTTGCAAACCCAGCCATAATATCTTGCCAGAGAGGTGCAGCTCCACACTCCTTTTTTTAATTCACATGCATTCTTGTTTTTCCTATTTAGGATGATCTCTTGCCTTTCTTGCTAATCTGAATTCATTTGGAAATATAGTTCTTCCCTAAGAGAGAGGCACTTCTAGCTGACAACTTGTGATCACGTCTGACTACTAATTTTCTCCAGGATAGTACCACACACAGTTTGGCTTGAGGTTGAAGTCGTAAACTTAATGGCTGATGTAGGTGAGTCCAGATACACCTATGGAGCCCCTGGGCCCTGTGGATCCCCGCTGAGTCACAGGCTCTGCAGGAGAGGTAGAGATGCTGGGATAAAATCAGGAACCTCTTAGGAAGGAGAAAACAAACTCGGTAGGCAGCCAGCAGTGTCAAGTACAGTTAATGTTCCTGCAGTTTCCAAGGTCATCTTTTTTATTCCTTAAGTATATAAATACTCTTAGCCTTTTATAAGGCCTTAAACACAATATTGATCCTTTAAAAATTCATTCCCCCAAATTGTACACTTTGGTACCATCCCTACCCGCCCACCAGAGAATACCTCCTCAAAACTGGGAATAATCATCTGAGTATTCCTGGAGCCAGCAAATGTTCTCTGTCACCATAGGCACAGAATGAATATTTGTAGAATAACCAGGATTCAAGGACCACTGGCTTTGTGTAAAATAAGCTAAGGCAAAAACCCAGTCTGCTCTTCTGTCCCATTTTCAAAGTGGCACATGGCATCTTCTACTCAGTCTTCTGAACTTCCGCCTCCTCTTTCCATTTATTTAAGGAACATTGTGATTATACTGAGCCCACCTAGATAGTCTAGGGCAATCTCAAAATCATTATTTTAATCACATCTGCAGCCCTTTTGCCATGTAAGGTAACATATTCATGGGTCCTAAGCAAGTTTGGGGGACATTATCCTGCCTGCCACTGTCTCAGACGCACATGATGTCCCACCAGTGTTCACCTCCCTTGCCTCTATATATGCAGAGAAAACATTTGTGTGTGTGTGTCTTCCCCTAATAACTTTCTTGAATATAACTTCATTAATTGGATGAAGGATTAATTAGTGTCTCCTGTGTTTGGATGGGTGGTTGGGGCTGATAGATGTTCCAACGGTGACACACACGAGTGTGGCATGATAGCTGCATCCTCACTGAGGAGTCCACGTGGGGCCATGAGGACTCATCAGCTCTAGAGAAAGATGGTTTTTGGTTTTCATTTTTTTGCTACACACAGACTTTATATCCCAACATGCTGCAGTTCTGGGTATTTTACATAATTTGCTACTCACACATGCATATCGTTGAAGAATAATACCCTACTTCTGAGTACTGGAAAAGTAGAATTCAGTAGCTGACTGGTCACTGGCTTTGCAAATGATTCCCCAAAGAGGGTGATTTTATTTAAGAAGGAAAAAGAGAAACTGATTGGAGATCTCATCTGAATTCAGAATCCACTCAAGTCTGCCTGCTGGGGAGGGCAAATACACAATGATATTTGTGGTTAAAATCTAGATTCTTTCCAAACTGAAGTGTTAGATATACTGAAATTAAGAAAAAGGATGGCTTGTGCTGAATAAGAAACTGCTATGCCGGGCACTGAGTTTGTTCGTTTATCTGCATTACCTTTGTTAATCCTTATGCAGTCCGATGAGGCAGCTGTAACTTTGCTATAATTTTGTAGATGGTGAATGTGATTGATAGAGCAGTTAAGAGGTCTTTAAATTTGGCTACAGGGACATGTTCTATGAATTCACAATCTTCTGACTTTTGTCTTATAGGCTTACGTACAGAAGTACATTGTGAAGAATTATTTCTACTATTACCTGTTCAGATTTTCAGCCGCTCTGGGTCAAGAAGTGTTCTACATCACATTCCTCCCGTTCACTCACTGGAACATCGATCCTTTCTTATCCAGGAGGCTGGTCATCATATGGGTTGTAAGTACTGCTGTTACAGACACTACTGCTTCTACAACTATCTGTTTGGATATTCAAATACTTTTATCACTTTTTTTTTAAGATTTATTTATTTATTTATACAAGCACTGGGTACAGTCAGAAGAGCGGGAGGGTGAGAGAATTCACCAGAGCCAGAGCAGGGAACAGAACAGGCAGACCAACAAGTACTTTTATCACTTTACGATTGAATTTTTACCTGGTTTCCTTGGGGAGAAGAATGGGAAAAATTAAAAGCTCTAAGGGGATTTGTTTTGTTTGCAAAAATCAAGCAAACTTGTATTTTCATGTATAGTTTACCCTTAAACAACGCGAGGGAGTCCCCAATCAAAGATCCTTGTATAACTTTTGACTCCCCCAAAACTTAAGTGTGCTCATCTTTTGGTATCCTCAAGGGACCGAAGCCAGACCCCCAGGGATAACAAAATGCGTGGGTGCTCAAGTCCCCGCTAGACAGCATTTAGCTTCTATTGAGTTCACGTTCAGAGGGAGCAGACTGGGTGCAACCAACCCACGTTCGTAATTGGTTGAATCCGTGAATGTGGAATCAGAGGACAGAAAACAGTCCGTGTATAATTGGACCAGGGGCCAACTGTGCTTTGATGTATACCTCCTTGTGGGTGAATCAAACCAGGGGAGGAGTGGAGTGCAGAAAAGAAAGGACCTTTCTGAGACCCATGTAGGGCCATAAAATACATCCTTCCCAACAATCTATTTTAGTCAAATCTAATCAAAAACTGAAACCAGAGATTGTCGACTGATAATTTCAACAGTTAATAATTCTGACTTCACATACAGTGGAGAGACAAAAGCAGGGAAGGTGGGGTCCCTTCCTTGAGGGAAACTTGAGGAGAGGGAGCAGCTGGTGTTTACACAAAGCCCTCTGATGTTCCAGGCAGAGGTGGAACCACTTCTGAGGTTGTGCTCTCAACCCTACTGTTTTACCTTGTTCAAGACCAAATAAGATTTGAGTATTTTTTAACTGGAGGTAATGGTGGCTGTTTCTGAGGAGGTGAGGCTTTCATGCTGCACATGATCACTCGTCCTGAGCCTTACCCGCCTGTCTGTGACTGTGCATCTCCCCAAATCATGGTGAAGGTGCTCAGTGTTGCAAAGATCTGGCCCTGCCAGTGGGAGTGTCTTCAAGCCACAAGTGAGCATGACAATGCATAGTGACTGGTCTGCGAAGGCCAAGGAGTCTTCAAGATTGCCCAATTTTAAGGTCAAAGGTTGTTTAGCTCTAGAGGGACAAGGCTACCAGCAGGCTGTTCTCTTCAGCAGGGTTGTTAATTATATAAGGAGCAGAATTTGAAGACTTGTACCTTTAAAACCTCTGTCTCACCCAGTTTTTTGAAAGGCAACTGCCTTCAGGAGTGCCAGATCTTGTCAAGTTTTATTAATTTGACAGCTGTCAGTGGAGGAATTCCCAACAGGTTTTCTTGCTTTAAAAAATCATTTGTAGCATCGGGGTGGTTTCTGTGTCCTGAGGCAGCTCGGCAGGATTCGTGGTTCTCTATTAGAGGCTTTCTTGTTACCGTCGAGATTGTTCTCCCCTCTGTTGTACATACTGGATTAAGCTTTTATTGGCATCTGTGTTCATCATCTTACTTGCTTTTCATTACTATGGGTTAGTATCATTTTCATCATTTTATAGAGCAGAGTAGAAAGACTTCCAGTAAAAACAAGCCATTGTCTCTGTGGAGCCCTTGTGGGTACCTGCCCCTGGATGTCTTCCTGCTTTGCCCACTTTACCTCATTTCCTCCTGGCCACAATCCTGAGTAGCGTCGCCAGCCCATTTTACAGATCAGGAACTGAAGTGTAGAAATGATACCTACACCGGCCTCAGTTTCCCTCAGCCAATAAAAGGAAACAGTTTGAGAAGGAAAGGAGTTTAATTTGTCAGCAAACTGAGGAGGGCAGCAGACTCCTGTCTGAAAACCACTGTCCTGCTCTTTGGCAGAGGACAGGGGGATTTATACAAAGGAGGAAAACGAAAGACAAGGGTCAGCATGTCCTTTTTTAAAAAAATATTTTTATGTGATGGGTTTTTTTAAATTGTTTTTTAAATTTTTTATATTTTTACATCATTTTTCATTTTTGCACAATGTATGCATTTTCATCTTGGTTATAGTCCCCATACAATTCCCACCTACCCCCCTTATTTTGGTCCTACTCCTTTCTCTCCCCCCTCTCCCGTAGTGTGTCTCTGGTTTATAGTTGCTTGTTGATTTTGACGGCATGTCCTTTTGATGCAGACTATATAGAGACTTCCAATGTGGGTGCCAGCTTGCTTTGTTAGCACCTGATGTTTAACTTCCTTCGAAGTTTAATTTCCTTATTAACCTCTTAGGGATAGTCTTCCTTTTCCTTAAGCTGCAAGAAGACAAACTTGTTAAATGCAACAGAGAGGAATGGCTTATCTGATGGGGCAGGAAGAGAGACCTGTCCTGTTTCACTGCATTAGAAAGGTTAAATGACTTGTCCAGGATCACTTGGTTTAAGCGACGGAGTGGATGGGACACTGTCCTGTGCTAGAAAAGGCCATCCTTGGTGTTTCTTAGAACAGCACAGCTAAATGACAGGGAAAGCATTCATTGCCCACTTTAATATGTTAAATCTGAGGTTTTAAGTATTAAAATGACTTCCCTGAGATTCTCTTCTATTGCAACACTTTTTTTTTTAAGACAGTAGTGGTTTTTTTTTTTTTTAAAGATTTATTTACTTATTCATTTATTTATTTATACAAGCACTGGGTACAGTCAGAAGCGCGGGAGGGTGAGAGAATTCACCAGAGCCAGAGCGGGGAGCAGAGCAGGCAGAGTACACTGCTGTACACCGAAGTACACTGCTGAGGGGAGCAGCGGGCGGCAGGAGAGGTCTGCGCGCCATGTGGGACCCTCCGGTGGCCGGGAAGGGAGCAGCTGGGGATTGAACCGGCGCTGCAGAGGCTACGGGCAGCTTCGCAACCCAGTGCTCAACCACTGCGCCACCACAGTGCTCAACCACTGCGCCACCAGGGAGGCCCTATTGCAACACTTTTGTTTCAGCTTTGCCTTCACAGCACTGGTTAACTCTTTTGTCTCGTACGTACTTTCTTGACAAGTTAAAGGTATTTTATCCCAGAAAATTTAGATAGACCTTAGATTAGCTAAAAGACATCCATCCATCAAGTTATTTCCCCCATTTCCTGTCACTTATCGACGTTTTTAACCTGTCATTTCGTTCAACCAAATCTTTGCCGTTGACACAGGAAAGGCTCGAATGAGTTTCACCTATTTAGATGCTCATAAAGTGATACGTAGCAAGTGATTCAGAGAGAGTTGTGTCGAACTGAGTGATTATCATTTCTGCTCCAGCCAAACTGGCATATCCACCAAAAATAAAATAGCTTTAAAACAGTTTCGCTGTGTCTCGAAAAGGTTAGAATTTCAATTACATGACTTGGTGTTCAGTTTGTAACATGAAGCAAAAATCTCATTTTGTTTGCTAAATAATTCTCCACTCAGTAAAATCACACATTTGATCCTGGTAAGATTCCTTTCCCTGTGTTTTACTAACTTATATCCTACCTTTTTCTGCCGATATTTCATGACATTCAAGATAAGAGGCAAGAAAAAAAAATGAAAAAAGTAAACAAAATCAAAATTATGGGGGAAACAGACTATATAGTCTAAGGTTAAAGTAGCTTGCTGATTCAAAGTTGAACCACAAACTTGTCTTGACAAACATGAAATTATGTTATTCACTAGAAAGCGGTAAGATTGTTCCTAAATGAGCCAACCTCTTTCTGATACATAGGACAGACAGAATTGTTCAGGCTAGTGATGTGTATTTTGCCAGATTTCCCTAGAAATATCGTGTGGAATTTGATGAGATGTGGGGTTCAGCGAGCAGGGTCCTTGGGTTCCCTCTGAGAAAAGATTCGGCAGTTCCCCTTTTAGTGGGACATGGCAAGTTCACCCAGGAAATGATGTGTGCTGGACACAGGCAGGCAGAGGTTGTTACATTTTAAAAGGAGAGGTTTATTAGGAAAAAAGAGAAAGAAAAGAGATAGGGCAGGAATTCCTGAGGCAGTGTTCTTTCAGGGAGGAGCCCATTCCTTTGTGGAATTGTTATCTATTGTTAACATTAATTACTTGTGATCGGGTTAATTTGTAAGGACTGGTGATTCTCAAATGGCCCTCAATCTCCATATCCCCATCCCTGGGGATCTGTGCCCCCAGATCATAGTCCCCCCTAAAGGAGCTCCTGTGTCTAAGGACTTTTCCTTGTTCTACGTGGGAGCAGGACCACGTTAATCATCTCTAACCCCACCTCCAGTTTCTGGCCCTGTGAAGCCTCCATCCCAAATTTTCTACTCTCACCTCCATCAGTATCCATCCCCCCACCCCTACATGGAAATATCCATTTCCATCTTTCTCATAACTTTGTGTCTTTGCATTTTTTAATCATTGCTAATTTAACCAATAAAAATGGTATCTCAGTTCATTTTTTTTGAAGATTTATTTATTTATTTATACAAGCACTGGGGACAGTCAGAAGTGCGGTAGGGTGAGAGAATTCACCAGAGCCAGAGCGGGGAGCAGAGCAGGCAGAAGGACCGAAGGACACTGCTGAGGGGAGCAGCGGGCGGCAGGAGAGGTCTGCGCACCATGTGGGACCCTCACCCAGCGGCCGGGGATCAAACCGGCACCGCAGAGGCTGCAGGCAGCTTCACAGCCCAGCGCTCAACCGCTGTGCCACCAGGGGAGGCCTCAGTGCATTTTTATTCCATGTATTTTGGGTGAAATTAAGACATTTTTCTTAGAATTTTGTCATTTCTGTTCACCCTTCCATGAATTCTCAGTCTACCTGCTGAGCATTTTTTAAGGTCACAGCAGGCTGATGTTGGCAGCTAGTGCTGCTTGGTTTCCGGACGCAGAGACCCACTCAGCGCAGCTCAGGAAAGGGGGTTGTTGTGAGGCCACCGGGAATCTGAGAA